TTCAGTCCGCAGGCCGACGCTCTATCCACTGAGCCACACCGGCCAGGGCCAAAAGCTTCACTTTTGATAGAAACGTAGGTTTATTTCGGTAGACATGCTGAATAGAAAGGGCTGAAATAAATGAGTCATCGTTAACATAAAATAACATTTTATTAAAAATTAATAGTTTTTCTTGAACATTAACTTACCAGACATTGAAGAACTGCATGAATTAATAAGCGTGACACAAATAGGCCTATTTTTCTTGTTCTCCAAAAGCGAAATATTTCCTGTTGCGCAAACCAAACAAGTCAGTCCAAGACTAATGACGGCAGTTGGCTGCTAAACTATTCCCCGGTAGTATTAGTGGAGAGAAATGGTGCACCTGCATATAAGGCATGTAAGGGAAATGAATGCAACACGATCAGAGTAATCAGTCATTAGCGAACATTGTAGTTCGTTATTAATAACTAGAGGCCCGGTGCACGGGATTTGTGCATGGGTAGGGTTCCTAGGCCTTGCCGGCTGCCAGCCAGGGCCTTCCTTCATTTCGTGCCACCCCCTCCTTGGTGGTCAGCACACATCATAGTGAGCAATCAAACTCCCGGTCTCCCAGTCGAACTCCTGAGGGGACGCTTTGCATATTAGCCTTTTATATATGTAGATTATGTATAACAGGATATTGTAAAAATTAAGTTATGAAATTTTTATTAAAACGTTTCTTACATGCGGCCCACGGGCCGCGAGTTTGACATGCTTGGTGTAGTGTTTGATGTCTGGCTTCTTTCATTGCTTTTAAGATGCATCCTTCTTGCATCTATCAATACATTCCTTTTTGTTGCTAAGTAGTAGTATGTTACGTGCATACCATATTTGTTCCTGCATTTACCAGTGGCTAGAAAGCTGGGCATTTCTAGGCTTTAGCTATTGAGTAAGTAGTTTGCATGCATGCCTTTGTGTGAACATGTTTTTATGGCTCTTGGGTAAATACCTAGAAATCAGATTGCTAGATGGTGTGATAAGTGCATACTTAATTTCACAAGAAACTGCCAGACAGGTTTTCAAAGTGTGCCATTTCGCTATCCCACCAGCAGTATGTGTTTCAGTTTCTCTACCTCCTCGCCAACATTTTAGATAACAATTTTTACTTAAAAATTTAGCCATTTTACCTGGCCAGCATGGCTCAGTGGTTGAAAGTCAACCTATGAACCAGGAGGTCACGGTTTGATTCCTAGTCTGGGCGCATGCCCAGGTTGTGGGCTCTATCCGCAGTGGGGGATGTGCAGGAGGCAGCCGATCGATGATGCTCTCTCATCATTGATGTTTCTATCTCTCTCTCCATCTCCCTTCCTCTGAAATAAAAAAATATATATTTTAAAAAAGATTTAGCCATTTAAAAAAAATATGCTTTTATTGAGCCCAGCTGGTGTGGCTCAGTGGTTGAGCATCGACCCATGAACCAGGAGGTGACTGGTGTGATTCCCAGTCAGGGCACATGCCCAGGTTGCAGGCTTAGTCTCCAAAGGTGGCATGCAGGAGGCTGCCAATCAATGATGCTTCTCTCTCATCGATATTTCTATCTCTCTATCCCTCTCCTTTCCTCTCTCTGTAAAAAATCAGTAAAAACATAATTTTTAGAGAGAGAGGAAAGAAGAGGGAGAGGGAGAGAAACATCAATGTGAGAGAGAAACAGATCAGTCGCCTCCCACATGCACCCTGACCCAGACAAAACAAATTCTTTAAAACAAACAAAAGCTGAAACCGGTTTGGCTCAGTGGATAGAGCGACTGGTGTGATTCCCAGTCAGGGCACATGCCCAGGTTGCAGGCTTAGTCTCCAAAGGTGGCATGCAGGAGGCTGCCAATCAATGATGCTTCTCTCTCATCGATATTTCTATCTCTCTATCCCTCTCCTTTCCTCTCTCTGTAAAAAATCAGTAAAAACATAATTTTTAGAGAGAGAGGAAAGAAGAGGGAGAGGGAGAGAAACATCAATGTGAGAGAGAAACAGATCAGTCGCCTCCCACATGCACCCTGACCCAGACAAAACAAATTCTTTAAAACAAACAAAAGCTGAAACCGGTTTGGCTCAGTGGATAGAGCGTCGGCCTGCAGACTGAAGGGTCCCGGGTTCGATTCCAGTCAAGGGCATGTACCTGGGTTGCGGGCACATCCCCAGTAGGA